TTGTAGATTAGACCGTAAGAGTACGAGTGGGACTTGTCACTTGCTTGGTAGTTCTTTAGTCTCATGGTTTAGCAAGAAGCAAGTCAGTGTTGCGTTATCCACAACCGAAGCGGAATATGTTGCCGCCGGTAGTTGTTGTGCTCAAATCCTTTGGATGAAGCAACAACTTGTGGATTATGGCCTTAGTATCGATCACGTCGCTCTTCGATGTGATAATACTAGTGCTATAAGCTTGACGAAGAATTCGGTTCTTCACTCAAGGACGAAACATATTGACATTAGGCATCATTTCATTAGAGATCATGTTCTCAAAGGTCATGTCGAAATTGAGTTCGTTGAAACACACAACCAATTAGCCGACATTTTCACAAAACCTTTGGAGAAAGAGTCGTTCTTCCGCATTCGTAGTGAACTCGGAATCCTTGACTCCACGATGATCTAAATTGTGCATAAACTATTATTTTTTTTGGTCACTACTAACTTGAACGTCGGAGACGTTTTTAATTCTTTTTTGCAGGGCTCTTTTTAAATTTTATTTTTCAGGTGTCAAAGGCAGGGGGAACATGTAAATCGATTTTTGCTTCAGATCTGGTGTAAATCGATTTACAGGATTGTGATAATCGACTATCACAGCCTACATAAGTTTAGAGCACAGAAGCTGAAGGAGTAAACAATCGATTATCAACATTAAGATAATCGATTATCTGAGCCTGAAGAAGTTTAAGGCAACTCAGGCGCAAACTTCAACAATCGATTTTCCAAGTCATGATAATCGACTATTTGAAGCTGCAGAATTTTATTTGAAGTCAGGCGCAAAACAATCGATTGACTAAAACAAGGCAATCGACTATTGAAGCCTGCAGCTTCTTTGGCGGAGAATCTGAAGACTCAGATAATCGATTTACAGGGAGTGTAAATCGATTATCAACAGCGATTTTTTCAAAAATCTAACCGTTGCAGAGACGTTGGAGAGCAATTAATGCCTATTTGACCACCTCTATGAATCTCCAAAGCTTCTACTCTATAAATTGGTGATCTCTATTCATTTTATACTCACTCAAATCATATTTTCTCCATATATTCATCATAATCCATCATTCTTGCTCCTATTCTTCATTTTCTTTCAAAATTTCTGCAAATTTCTCTTTTTTTGTCTTGCTCTCCCTCTCTCTCTTTGTTGAAATGGCAGGAGGTCAAAGAAAAAGATCCCGCACCGGCAAGAACGTGGCTTCTTCCTCGGCTCCTCCACCATCAACGCACAAATACCTTGACGGGTCGTTTCTTTGGTTCAACGAC